TTGGTGCCAGACAGGCTGGTCTGAGTATTTCAGAAACTGCTGATCTTCTGGGATTGTCACGCACAACCATCTCTATGGTTTACAGAGAATTGTCAGAAATAAGAAAATCATCCATTGAGCGGCAGGTCTGTGGGCAAAAATGCCTTGTTGATTCCAGAGGTCAGAGGAGAATGGCCAGATAGAAAGGCAACAGTAACTCAAATAACCACTCGTTACAACCAAGGTATGCAGAAGAGCATCTCTGAACAAACAACACGTCGAACCTTGAGGCAGATGGGCTACAGCAGCAGAAGACCACACTGGGTGCCACTCCTGTCAGCTAAGAACAGGAAACTGAGGCTACAATTCACACAGGTTCACCAAAACTGGACAATAGAAGATTAGAAAATGTTGCCTGGTCTGATGAGTCTTGTTTCAGTCTTATTTCTGCTGCAACATTCGGATGGTAGGGTCAGAATTTGGCATCAGCAACATGAAAGCATGGATCCATCCTGCCTTGTATCAATGATTCAGGTTGGTGGTGGTGGTGTAATGGTATGGGGGTCATTTACATTGCACGCTTTGGGCCCCTTAATACTAAATGACCATCGTTGCAACGCTACAGCCTACCTGATTATTGTTGCTGACCATGTCCAGCCCTTTATGACCACAGTGTACCCATCTTCTGATGGCTGTAATGTTTGTATGTGTGTGCATTACATATATATGCATGTATGAATGGATGTATTGGCATATACCGGTACATATGGATGTGATTTGAATTTACATAGATTTTTCCTTGTTTAGCCTATTTTCTTTAGTCTATGAATGTGTATTGATTGGCCATTTTACCATGCATGAAATGAGCTACACATTCACTATCTCTCTTTCTTAACATTTTTTAATCACAATTGTCTACTTTTTGCTCATTTTAAATATATATTTTAACCCTTTTCTAAATTCCTTTTTATATTTTTACATTTTTTGTTTTTGTGAAGCGCCTTGTGATTTTTATCTTGAAAAATCTGCTATAGAAATGATCAGTGGCGGCTGGCCAGTAGAGGGCGATAGGGCGCCACCCTCCCAGTTTTTCAGTATTTTTAATTTTTATTTAAAAAAATTAAATAAAATTAACAATAATCACATATTCTAAGTTAATTGTGTGTTTTGTAACAAAAATAAATCATATATATATATATCTATATTGGTCTCTGCCGAGCGGTGGAGGCTGTGTGCTGTTTTTCAATCGCCCAAACAGGACGAGACCAGCTGTCCAATTGCTGACAAGAATATCAAAGGGTAGGAATGGGAATGTATCCAATCAGCGTCGACGTTGTTTCAGAACGTTTCAGAAGCATGATGGGCGATGGAGCTACCGCCAAAGGTTTCGTTGGTGTTCGGTAGAACTCGGCAGAGTCGTTTTTGGTCGTGACGCAGATGTAACATGGACGCCGCCAGTGACTACAACCAGCATGGATACCGGATCTCAGCAGCCACTGAATTCAGTTTGGTCTCTAATCCAGTATCCGTTCGAGAGGAGAACTATGGTGGAAAAACTTAATGTCAAAGAGCTTGGACCAGATCAGCCCGACATAAAGATAAGCCAGCAGGAGAAGGAGAGAGGTAAACTGTACACACTAGGCTTCTCCCGAAATTGGTACACCAGGAAGGCTTGGCTAGCTGGATGCAATCACGCTAATGCGTTATTTTGCTTTCCGTGTTTGTTATTCAAAACGGCTGGGACAGATAAGGCATGGATGAGTCAGGAGTTACAGACATGAAACATTTTTCTGAGAAGGTGAAGAAACACGAGTCATCCCGGGCACACATGGACAACAACACGGTGAAGCTAGCCATGCTAGGCAGCAGAGCTAACGTTGCCATGCAGGGAACAACAGCAGCTGGGTGCAGAGGTAAGCTGTACATTACATTTCTGTGAACAAGACAATCAGAATCAGAAATCCTTGGTTGTCCCACAAACTGGGACATTTGTTTAATAACATGTTTAATGTGCAATAACTGTAAAAACTAATTTCAACACACATACTTATCACGTAAATGTGTATTTCATGTAAATTTGTACATACATCAATCTGATTCCATTTTACTTGTTACACTTCTGCTGCAGCAAACAAATTTCCCAGCTTTTGGAACAATTAAACATTTCTGATTCTCAATTAGATGTTTTTACCTCAAATGTAAAAACATCTGATTGAGAATCAGAAATGTTTTATTGTCCCAAAAACTGGGAAATATGACATTTGTAAGAGGATACTGATGACATTATTTCCTATGAAAGTGTTTCCTATGTACTTATCTGTTGTTTTTTATTTATCATATGACAGGTTTTTCACACCATCCTGAGCCATGCAAAAGAAGGTTCTTGTCACCACACCCATGACCACAGCCAAAAGAGAAAGGTGCTTTTCTACTTTAAAGAGGATTAAGACTTTCCTTGAGGAACACCATGACACAGGATGGGCTGAATGCTCTTGCCATGCTCTCCATGGGAAAAAAAAGCTTGTCACAAACATTCCTGACTTCAATAAAAAGCTAATCGAGAGCTTTGCCACTCAGAAGGACAGAAGGGCAAAATTTCTGTACAAATGAGGTATCACACACACACACACAAATGCATCCACTTGATCTTTGTATAAAGTTGACCTTGGCACAACACTCCAGAAATATTTAACAGTGTAAATTTCTAGCATTTTGTCTAAGTAGCGTTTTACTGTAACAGTGACCTGCTCATAATTTTGGGTGTTCACTCAAATGTTGAAATTAAACAAAATGTTTTTGTTACTTGCCTCTTGCATTGCCTATTTATCATTTATGGTCATGTTATTTTATGTGCAATTTAATGCAGTATTTTTCAACCTTGGTCTGCAAGGCAGCGTGCCAATAGTCAGACACACCTGGATTAATCAGTTTGTCCAATGATGTAAGACAGGAAATAAAAGAGCTGTGCTTAATTCAGGAAATAGTGAAGTTGTGCACAAAGCTCAGAAAGCACAAGTTTGTTTAAAAATAAAAAAATAGCACAGCCCCACCAAAAATATTTTTCACCAGCCGCCACTGGAAATGATATTTTCTTCTTCTTTCTTCTTCAGTTTAATGCTAACAGCCCAGTTCATAAGTCTCAATTATTCTCTCTGTTATTATTATAGGAGAACGTAAAACACAAGGGAGTGCATGTACTGGACCTTTAAGAGATCTTTTGAAAATAAAAAAACTGCCATTGTTTGTAAAACCGTTAAGCTCCACTGGGCACCAACAACAGCCCTTTTGCAGATAACATAAGCATGAGCTAAAATAGGTGTACCGCTTTAGGCCAGTGGGAAGCACAAATATGAACCGCAAAGTTCAATCGGAAAATATCAGATTCCCAGAATCCACACTGATGTTTAGATTTCTTTCAGGCATATCCTACTAAAATGTCTTGAAAACAGTATGTTCAGGGCTAAGTATGGGAGATACATTATTTAAGGGTTGTTTAATTTTTTTCTATTGAAAGTTCATAGACAAAATACAAGTGAAATCTGGAAAGAAGTATTTATTTATTCAGTATAACATTAATAATTTAGGTAAAATGGATTTTTGGAAAGGAAAATTGTTTGTTTTACTTTAATGTAAAACTAAAAGTCGGTAACAGAGAGAAATGTGATGGATTCTTAAATTAATACTGATTTTTGCTGAATTTCTGCTAAATCAGAACTAAAATGTACGAAAACCCCACAGGAAACTGCGGCTGTCCATTTGCAACTAGACCGGAGTGGTTTGTTTATAGGAATGAACTCATGAGATTATTTTGGCAAAGAAATCCATGAACAGTAAGTTTATCCTGCTGCTGGCAGCGAAAAGGCTCTAATGGAAGCTGCATCGACTTTGTTTATGCTGTAGAAGCAAAACGGAGCAGCCTTTCGCGGTCAAGGTTTTTTTTTCCCGTGTCCTGTCTGGCTGTGAAGAAAACAGAGGGAAGGGAGCTCCAAGTCCCAGAGATCCAGGTGCTGCCCCAGAACACAGGAACCCCAAGAAGACTGCAACCAGAAAGGCCCCTGCCCTCCTAGAGAGGCGCAGAGGATCGCCCCGGGGGGCCACAACCAGCAGCCGGCAGAGTCCCGGGAGATATCAGCGGCAAGCCCACAGGCCCGCCCGCAGCCTCCCACCCCCTAGCCGGCCGAGCCCGGGACCCAGCAACCCGGGACCCAGGGGCGACCACCCCCGCCGGGGACCCAGCAGAGCCCAGGGACCCAGACCCCACCAGACAGCCACCAGGATTGATAAGGCAGACGCCAAAAATCTTAAACCCCCTGAACCGGGAACCACGACCCAGGCAGACCAAGGCACCACACCCCACACCAGGTGTGGCAGGGAGAGGGGAGACGAAGATCTATATCATCAAAAGAAGTCCCAGGAGAAGGGAGGAGTCAAAGGCCCCGCCTGACATATACAGTCATACACAAACAGTCATACACTCCCTTCCTCATGCTCACACATACGCATACAACCAAAGACTTACAAAAATGCACGCCGGACACCCACTCATGCTCCCCATACACACCCTATTCACTCTGGTCCCGGTACTGCTGCACACTGGGTACAACCATTACCGGTTCCCAGAGTTCGACCCTTTCTGCTGGGGTGATGAGCAGGCTCCCCCGCCCAACGCTGAGCACAGCAACCCACCACCCCAGACCCCAACCAGATGGCCAGATCTCCCTCCTAGCCTCCAGCCCCAGGAAGCCAAGCAACAACAGAGGTGTGCTAAGACCCCTAGTCTCGCTCCGCCTGCTCCAATATAGTGTTAGTGTGTGTTGATGAGGTGTATTCCATGGCTGTGGTGAGCGGGCAGTGCGGGCATCGTCTGGCCTATGCCAGCTGATGCCACAAAACCACCCCACTTGACCACTTCGCGGTCAAGGTTATGTGATAAGAAAGTAACTTGTGGTTTTGTGTGCAGCTTCAAGGATAAAAACAGGTGGAGGTCATAGTGATGGTGTTGATCTGGATCCTTTACCAACCTGACCAGTGTCCGGTGGAAGCCCCAGACCGATCGCTGCACGTGTTACTGATGGGCAGGAAGACAGTCTCCCAGCCTCCGGGGGCGTAGCGCCAGTTGTGGGACTCCAGGATGAGCGTGCGCTGGGTGCCGTAGGCGATCATGAAGCAGTAGACGACGTGGTGGAGCTGGCAGCCATAACCGCAGCCCTTATTGATGTTACACACCAGCTTCCTCGCCTTACTGCAGTCCGGGGGGTTCTGGAAGGAGAGGGAAAGGATGCGTCAGCGTCTTTTATTGCTCAACTTTTTTACCCCGCGTCTCACAGAGAGCTGCTCTCTGACTTGTAATAACAAGACGCCTTTATTTGTTTGCATTGCCAGTCTCATATTGAACTCTGATTTATTGTTGCTTGGTTATGTCTCCCCCCTCCCCCCCCCATGTTTCTTTCCCGTCAAATGCTTATTCAATCTCATCTCTTCAATCGGTTTATCCTTACCCATCTATCCCACTCTGTCAGTCCCTTTTCCTGTTGGAAAGATAAAAACTTTTTCTATTTTATTTACCAAGTTCTTTCTGTGTAGTCAAAAAGAGCAACGCCATTTGATCAAACACCATTCAGATGAAAGTAATGAGTCACACTGCTGTTTCTTTAATAATAGGCCCAAATACATATTTACTATTGTGTATTAGCATCCTTTAAGATAAAGGACTTAAAACACCCAGTTGTTTCTTATTTGGGTGGTGTTTAATGGAAACTAGAGTGCTACTTTGGAAAAACGGGCTAAAAGCCACTGATGGAAACTGACTCATTCTCTGGTTTGGTCTTTTTCTGGGATTTCTTAAAATGACAATAGGTGCATTTCCTTTACCGGAACTTCAGGGTAAATGCGGTGAGGGGGAAAGTGACTAGGTTTGTTGTTGTTGTGTGTGTGGGGAAAGGGGTGTTTGTAAAATATTAGTAATGAAAATGGAAGAGACCTCAGGAAGAATAGCTCCACAACTAGGTGGGAGCTAATGAGGTTCTCAATAAATAAAAAAAATTAAAACAAAAAAAGATCTGAAGGCCTGGTCCCCTTAGCTGTCATGTCTCCATTTACAGTTGGGCCCTGTAGGGAATGTGCTAAGACGCCAGCACATCGCGACCGCTGCGTTGTGAGTGACATCACCGATTGGCACAGAATGCACAAACAGCTCATGCTTTCAAAAATACCCGTCCCGTATGCATTCCCTATTTCCTACGTCGACGTACAGTGTAATTTCTGACTGAGTAACAACCAATAGGTGGCGTTCCTGCCCACCATCTGCACCGGGCCTCCCACTCGGCCACTTCAAGTAACTACCTCTGAGTAAGGTACTCAGAAGGTTCCTGAAAACGTTCCGAGTGGAGACACGCGCATGTCGGGAGATCCGAGTGAGTTTAACATGAAGTTCCGGTAATGGAAACACAGATATTGTCTAGGTTTTACCATCAATCTCTGGAAACATCCATCAGAATGTTGTTGAAAATGAATTAAACGATGTCCAGTTGTTGAAAAATATTGACGGCTTAATAATGTATAACCATAAAAATCAGGTTTAAGATCCACGAGCGCAGGTCTAAGTCTCTGGGCGACGTGATGTTTCCTTCTACGGGAGCCCATGAAGACAAAATGCATTTACTAATTTGTAACAAACCGATACCAAACTTTTGCCATTCATTAGTGATGAAAGAGAGTCTGATGTGCTCGTCGATTTGCTGGAGGTTCAGCACCCAGGAATTTTAACCCTAATGGCCATCCATTGGAAAGGTCTTACTCTAACACAACAATGCTGTTTGCTTGCATTGATTTAGGTATGTACTGCCCCCTAATTGCCAGAAAAAGTACATACTGTCATTTTAACAATGAAAAAGAAAGAGCAGCAGCTTGAGTATTTAATATCTTTTCTGTCCTAATCTCCTTTTGGATTCTCTACTTTTTAATACATATTTCCCTTAAACCCATCTGCTATGTATTTCGCCATTCACCCACTCTCTTTTCTTCCCATCTTTCTCTGGTCATGTTTCCTCTTCCAACACACTTTCAATTCCTCAACTCAAAAATTAGCTTCAATGCCATACCGTCTGGGGGAAGAGTCCTGGATATGGGGAGCTAGCGAGGAAACAATAAGCTGTCGCCAACCAGATTGATGCACGCTGTGTTAACGATGAGTTGCCGAGCGGGTTGTGATCTGTAGCCGGTTTGAGCGACTGAAACGCTGGTGCCAACCAGCTTCCTAAACAGCAATTACCCACTGATGGGAGTGTTTTCCTCATTAGGCTGCTGCAGCTGTGAATAGTTCACAGTAATCAGGCTGCCCAGCACCCACAGGCTAACGCTGCCTATCACGCACCACCGGGAGAAGACGGCGAGTAAAAGAAGAAAGAGGAGGCGAGGAATAGCAATAAGAATAAAAATGAAATAAAATAAAATAAAATACACATAAAAAGATGTCAGGGCCCAAGAGAGGTAGGGGCAAATTAGCAAAAAAAAGGAAAGAGAACAACCTTCGGGTGCACAAAACTGATTAACCCAACTGCTGTGCAATAACACGAACAGAGATCAACAGCCGCTGAGCTGACAGAACAATCCACACAGGTATTCCCTCTTAGTTACAAGCGGGTAACCTCACAGGTGTGAGCCAACACACTGATAATCTACAGTGACGTCTGCACACAAAGGGCCTTGTTTTCTATGTATCTGTTGATGTATCTGCATGAGATCCTTTCATGGCATGAATCATGTGCAGAGAAGGACACCACTGGATTCTAGGTTGCTAATGGCGACGCTGGAGCGGCTCAGAGGAACGGGTTCAAGGATAATGATGCCAGACATGCGCTCCGGCAGTCTCTCGGTACTGCTGGGCGCTTACTGTAGGTTAAGTACCTCTTTAAATAGCATTCCTTTAGAGTGTGAAACACTGGGTCAGAGGCGGAGTGATTGACCACAGTGATATTGTTGATTTAGGAAGCACGGCTCAGAACAAGTGATTTTGACAGCATAATAACCTCAGGTAATTATCCAGCGTGCTGCTCGCATTCCCTCATTTCAAGATGCTTAAAGAGAGACTCGAGTGCATTTAAAAGGCTTTTCTGTGCCGCTAAACCGAGCTGGCAGAAGACGCTGGGAACGGCTCGGATGTGCACCGTATATTATTCATCCCATTACAGGTGTTTGCATTTTCCTCATGGATGCCCTTTTAGGAAAACACCTGCAGTGCGTGGTGACAGGTTTCACAGCTGAAGGTGTGAACATATTTTACTGGGAGGGACTGTTAATTAATTCACAACTATTCTGGTGTCCCACAAATTCAGAAAACTCCAGTATTATCATAAAAACAATCAATGGTACGTTGAGGGTTTAAGGATTTTCTTAAAACGGTTTTTATTATAATCATTTTTCCTTTTAAAGCAACAAGATATAGCTTTATAAACTTTAAGCTTTAACATTGATCTCAGTGATTGCTGGGTTACAAACTACCAGTTTCATACTTGACACAACTCTGCAGCCCTCTGCTGACCAAAAAACGCACTTAATAGTTTTGTGGAGCAGGAAGGTGCTCTATAGGGGGCATTCTATCTACTTTACAGCTGTTAGCGCTAATGCTAGCAGTTAGCATTTTCAGTTTGCTGATCGTCTATTAAAAGCACAAAAAAGAAGAAGCAAAGAGCTAAAACCAGAGTGTACATCGGCACAGCGTACCCTAATTTGAGGGAGCTAACGGAGGCTACAAAATCAAAGACTGATGGTGACCTGGCTTTGTTGCTACTGGACTTGTAAGTAATAATAGGTTTTATCCAACAGTGTGGATCTTTTTACTTTGTATTTTCTTTTCGCATTAGTTGGCTCATGATATTGTTAGCTTTTTGTTAGCGCTAGCTACAACAGTGTTACTTGACAACGTTCATTATATCTTCTTCTTAGATAATTAATACAATTCTTTGGTAATGCTTCCTTTTACAGTGCCCTAATTACTAAGTACTTACATGGTAATTACATAGCAAGTGAAAGTGTATTACTGTTCTGAATTCTTAAACAGTTATTAACATGTAGCTCAGGTAAAATTCTAGTTTTTATTGTTATTAATCATTCTCAGTAAATAGTGCTTTACACAATAATTACACTTCATTACAATTTTACACTTCAATTACCCAATAATACACTTTAAGTTACTATGTAATTACCATGTAAATAATTGGTAATCAGGGGACTGTCCGCACACTTCAATCTGCGATAATATAATATTTATTCTTCTCAAGCTTTCAGTCAAAAGACCTTCATCAGGAATTGTCAATTTGTTTCAATTCAATGTGACAATTCCTGATGAAGGTCTTTTGACTGAATGCTTGAGAAGAATAAATATATTATTGCAGATTGAAGTGTGCGGATTTTTTTCCTCTTCATTCAATCTTTTATCCAGCACCTCAAACCAGATGAGCGATGTTTCTTCATTTTTATTAATTAGAGGACTGTAAAAGGAAGCGTTACCAATTGTTTTTGTTTCAGACATGTAAGGTCGTGTTGTGAGTTCTTATTTTTGACATGTTTTAACTGACGACTGCGGTCTTCATCAGGAGTGTCACAGATGTTAGTGTGATACGTCCATCAGCTGTTCTTCTGGTGGGCATGACTGATCCAACAGATCTGTCAGATTTGCTGGATCGGTCAAGCCCACCCCCTTGGCTGGTTTTTGGAGAAGGGAATCCCAGGTGCAAGACAGCTGATAGGCCCTCCTCGTCTTGGTTCACGGTCCACTATTCTTGCTGTTGAGAAGAACAGCTGATAAAGACACATCACAAAAACATCTGTGACACTCCTGATGAAGATCGCAGTCATCGGTCAAAACATGTCAAGGTAAATAAGAACTCACAAACCAACCTTATATGTCTGAAACAAAAATAATCTTAATTATACAACATGATTGTATATGACAGTTGTAATTCCAGTTTCAACCAGTAGGGTAGCAGGAAACTGCTCCGTGTTACTTTAAAGCAACACTGGTTCAATTGTTTGTAGTCATAGAATTTCCAGTTAGCTTGTTTTGCTTTTTAATGGGGAAAATTGCAGCTGCACAGTGGCGCAGCGGTTAGACCTGTTGCCTTGCAGCAAGAAGGTCCTGGGTTCGCTTCCCGGCCTGGGATCTTTCTGCATGGAGTTTGCATGTTCTCCCTGTGCATGCGTGGGTTCTCTCTGGGTACTCCGTTTTTCTCCCACAGTCCAAAAACATGACTGTTAGGGTAACTGGTCTGTCTAAATTGTCTTTAGGTGTGAGTGTGTGTGTGCATGATTGTTTGTCCTGTGTGTCTCTGTGTTGCCCTGCGATGGACTGGCTCGCTGTCCAGGGTGTACCCCGCCTGATTGCCCATTGACCGCTGGAGATAGGCACCAGCCCCCACTACCCTATGTGGACAAAGCAGGTTCAGACAATGGATGGATGGATGGATGGATGGGGAAAATTGCTAATTTATATAGGTACATGCATGTTGATGCGTTTCATCATCAGTAAAATTACCTTAAGGCCTGGATTGTTTTTGAAGTAGACAGTGTGGGGGCCACTTTTAATATGGTTAAAAACATAGTTCATATGATTTTATTGGTACTTATCTACATGTTATACTATCTTGAGAAACACTATAAATGAATAGGAAATATCAGAATATGTAACACATTTTAATAAATGTTGAAAAACGTGTCTAAATGTGAGTTTTGAAAGAAACACAGAAGTGTGACTCTTTTGAGCTAAGCAACACAGATATGGAGTAAATATTTCAATAGTTAACACATCTGCAGTGAACTCATCCTCCGACTGCAAAAGAAAAAAAATTAAGATGGACAAAATAATGGAACGCTTGCCGCTAGCTGAGATCAGCAAGGAAAATAAGCCCTGAATGGGACTCAAACTCCGGTCTCCAGTGAATGGGGATTCCTAGCATCCTACTGAACCCAAGTATGTAGGATAGATGATGAAACTCGTTGCAATTTTAAATTGGGATTTATCTTTTTATTTCTAACTAGTAGTTTCCAGGAAGTATATATGAAAAAAAAAACTAAATGCTGAGTTATTAGAGTTAATAGTACCTGTTGAGATATTCATTCTTTAGTTTCTTTTCAGCCGTTAATATTTCAAGATGATTTATGAGATTTTAACACAGTTTGACGGACAAAAAGATCTATCGTCTTGGAATTGGGAGATTTAACCTTCAAAACATTTACGTTTTAATCTACAACATATGGGCGTTGTTTCTCATCAATACACTTGAGGGCATAAGCCCAGACATAAACCGTTTGAAAGATTTCATTCATGGATTATTACAGGTTTGGCAGCTGGAAAGGCGACATACGACACCACAGAAAGTTGTTTGGAATAAAGAAACAAAAAGAATAATGAACAGGAACTTTTGGTGTAGAAAGTAGATCAGAGAGTTATTAGAGACCACAGATAAAACGGATTCCATCATCTGACTAGGAATCAGCAGACAAAAGAACTCAGAACACCATGCTCTCTGGTAAAGTTACCTCTCAGAGAGTGGTACATCACCTTTATTGTGCCTGTGGAACCCCTTCTGCTGAAGATGGTTCCCACTCTGAAAAAAAACCCAAGCTTGACTTGACAGGCTGCTTCCATTTTTTAAAGGCATACTATGCAACTTTTTCATATTTTTAAGTCATTTTCGTGAGCCAGTATGTGCTAAAACAACCCTTTACATGGTTAATGGAAAGCCACTCAGCCACCCCTCTGGTCAGAATACTGCACTTACAACTTAAGAGTAGCCGGTCCGGTCCCTGTTGGACTTAGTAAGGTGGAGCTGACATGCTGTTTGAGCACATTTCCTGCATGTTTTAAATCAGGAACACAGCTGGTTTGTTTAATTTAGTGATGAATCACTCCTGTAGGAACTAATGAAGGCAGGGAGACGTTTTAGCTGTTAGATTAAGGTGTTAAAAAGACGAATGCACAGTGAGGAGATAAGTTTCACTTTTGCAAAAGTGAGTTAAAACGGACTCTAGGGGGTGCTAAATCAAGCCAAAACTGCATTGCTTCTCTTTAATACACTTACAAATTGTTCTCATATTAATTCCTTTAACGTTTTGCAATTTCCTCTGTCGTTGTTTCTCGTCATTAAATGATGTTTAAGTGCTTCTTAAAGATTTCATTTTCATTTGTTAGATTAACGACGCAACAGACAACCATTATTTAACTGCTATCGCATGACGGACCAAAGTGATAATGGTAATAAGAAGTAATCATGAAACAGATTTAACAAATTATGCCTAAATGCTTAGATTTGTTTAAACTTTGAAGACTGCAGCTCTTTAGTAAACGCAGAGTGGTTTTGAAACAGGTAAATGCGTGAATCTACTGTTTCACTGGTTGGGCTGTGATGTCATAATGGAGGTGCTGTTTTTATAGCGGTTGAGAAGAACGGTGCTAGAGGAAGTCCCACACAAACATGACTGCATGGTTTCAACCAGAAAATTATGAAAAAAAGGTCATTCAAATGAAACTTGGACGTTGAAACTGGAAAAAGATGTAGTCTCTTGTTCCAGCTCAAGCCCTGCCCCCTTTCGTGTGACTAAATGGGAAATTTTTCAGACACAAAGATTAACACAAGAAAGAGAAAAAAAAAATTCACAGAAAATTTTGCCACACATCCCTCTGGCTCCAAAATACCAACATGGCACAATTTATGAGCCAGACACCATGGTTTCATTTTTCACTCAAGAAAAATGTTACTTACCTGTTTTCTCTGGTTTATAGTTTCAATTTTAGCATTTTCAACATTAAAACCTGCAGCAATAAACTCCACAGCACCATTTTAATGATAAAGCGATACTTTTACTATTGTTAAATACCTGGAATACAACATTACCTGATAACCACCCAACCCTAGCAGATCCCTTTCTACTGGTATAACCATCACAAACCCAGAAGCACATTCTTATGTAAAATACTTCAATTAGTTGATATTAAAACTTAAGTAGAAATGCTTTGTTAATAAAATAAAACTATCAAATCCTGACTTTGTACAGCATGAGTCTGTCATGTCTCAACTCCTTTGGTGCTGAAACACCAAACATACTAAACATCTTAATCTCAACATTATTTCTTTCCTACAGGAAGAAAACCTTCTCAAGCCAGACAGACTTCATCGTGTGATGGATTGCTTCTGTGGTTGTTGAGAAACCTACTAATCAGCTACAAATATTGTGTTGCAAAGTATAAATGATTATAGATTCAAAGGCAGCGGGTGCATAAAACAAAACTTTCATCTGAAGGCGCCATGGTAGCGCAGTGGACCGACTGAGGAGGAGGCAGAAGCTGCTGCAGGTGGAGCAGGGAGGAGTCTGTGTGTGTTCATAGAGAAGCATTTGTAACACACACACACGCACGCACGCACACTCTACCTCTTACCATACGGGCATGTTCATCGATCTTGTGGCGGAACTTGAATGTTATTGCACAGCAGTTGCTAGCATAGGTGTGTGTGTGAGAATCCGTCTGTGTGTGCGTGTGTGATGAATTAGTGATGGCAGCTGGTAAAGCGGTGTGATCCCTCAGCAGTGGTGACAGCAGCTGTTAGTGGTGCTGTCTCCGCCCTGCCAGACTGACTGGGTCCTCTTCATCAAACACACCAGCTCATTAATGCTGCAGGACCTGCTGCACCGCCGCACCACCCCACTCCAGAAGCCAGCAGAATCAGAGCCAAGGAGGTGTGTGGGTGGTGGTGAGGTGGAGCGGATGTGTCCCGAGTAGCAGGTTAGAACGTCTGCGAAGACGTGAATCTGTCCGTGCCTCGCAAAGCACGTGAATGTTTGTCTTTCGTAACTGCTTAGACATTTTTTTGCATTCCTGCATAAGTGCATCTGCAGGTCCATCATTTTGCCTCTCTCCACGTGTGTATTTGTGTGTGTCTGACACTAAACCACTGACAAATAACAAGAATCCTGCTCGTCAGAGACAACCGCTGAAACTGGCTGCTTTTCATCCTTTTACCTGCTGCTTGGTGGGACTGACGCTGACAGACAAAATGGTGCAAATGAGACAAGGAGGGGTGAAAGACCAAGAATGCATGTGTGCGTGTCCGTGTGAGGAACTCCGACTGGGTCTGTGTGGGTGAGACGCTGGCATGCGGTAGGTGAGTCTGTAGATACCTGTAGGAAGGTGATTCTGTTCTGGACCAGATCCGACAGGTCTTTAGCTTCCTTCAGTCTCCATTCACCTACTCCATCTGCCTGGCTGAGGTAGTACAAGTCTGTCATGATGGACCTGTGGACGAGAAAAGCACGGCAACCCCTTACAATCCAACTGGGCAAGAGTCAGCTCATGGGAGACGTTTTTAACTGTATGAAAATGGTAAAGCTGCACCAATCAGAGCCGTTTAACTTCATGTTGGAGCGCTAAGAGGGCAGAACTTCTGGAACCTGAATAATAAAATGTTTTAAACAAACAAACAAAAAAAAAAGATTTTAAAACATGGCATTCATAAAAAAATCAAACCATGAAGTCCAAGAAGGCTGCTAGGCTTTGGGTTGAACACAACCTGTAATTTACTTTGATTTTATGTCATAATTTCTGTTCTAAAATGGTAAATTGTTTATTCTGTTTTGCAAATGTAAAATATAACAGGAGGAAAATGCCAGAGGCTATAAAAACACTGTTTTCACTATATACGTGTCTGTTTTATTCAAATCAGCTTGAATAAATCATATTACTTCATTATTTATTATCTTGTTTTTCAGTCTACATCTATTTTTAAACTACAGATACTTGTTTCTTCTTCTCATTTTATTTAAAATGAAACATATAACTAGTTATTTTAATTATATAAACAATATAAATGAGCTTTTTCCTTCCCAGAATACCAGATTGATAGTTTTATGACTGTTTCATTGCCCAACATTCAATATAAAGACCTAAATTTAAAGACAGATATTGTTGCAGGATTCCCCCAGCCAAGCTAAACATGGTCTCCATGGATGAAAAAAGGACAGCAGCGGTATCACGGTTGGCACAGAAGACCTGTAAGCCAGAGATGGAGTCACCATGGTAGGTGTGTCTTGCTTGTTTTGTCAACTCTGCCGACTGGTTACTCGTAAATTGCAGCGTTCTGACACATCACGTTCATTTCGGGTGATGCGTACAAATGACGCTTTAAATTAAAGCGAGTTAAGCGTGACAGCCATTATAAACAAGCATATGCATCAATAAAGAGCAAGTATATTCCGTCCTTTATACTTACACTTCTATGGATCTAAATACGTGACAAATACTATGAGCCAAAATACCCTGAAAAAGGGCTGCACGATATTAGGAAAACCTGCAATATTCAATAACAATGATTAATATTGCGATGATGATATTACTTGTGATAAATAAAAACTTAACTCAGGAACAAAAGTAATCAAAAACAAAGAAATAAAAAAATCATTAAAAATGAGAAAAGCAAAAGATGTGAGGAAAGGGAAAATGAACAAGAAAACGCAATCCGTGGATCCCCGGAAAAGCAGAATCAGCAGAAAGAGCAGAACAAAGCTAACTCAGGTGTTTGCTAACCATCAAAATTAAGTGCCATCCGCCTCGGGGGCGGGCATCTAACCTATGAGAACCCACCCAAATGGCCAAATAGGTGAGGAGCTCTATTTGATTTGAGCATCATGCTTCCATTTGATTGACAGAATGCATCATGCTTCCATTTGATTGACAGAATGCATTATGTGTAGCAAACATTTGAACTGACCATTCATTGCGATACTTATCTGTTCTTTGCGATATGCATATTGCGCATGCTGATATCACGATATCGATTTATTTACGATATATTGTGCAGCCCTACCCTGACGTACCCAACATTTGATACAAACTCACCCTCTTACAGCAGCTAACTCCTCTTTTCATAAAAAACGTGCAAATATTGTTTTAATAGTCATGAATTCCATAAGAAAGACAGTGAAGCCTTTGTTTTGGTGGTATTTATATGCAGAATAATCCCTCTGACGGAGAGTTATAATGATTTCATACAGGAACAACGCTGCAGCTTACTCATCCACTCTGCTGCTTACTGAGAGCAGCAGAGGCGGGGGAGACCCGGGCCTACTGCGTGGGGAAATACCTCGTCTGCACAGAGCAAGAGCGTTAAAACACAGCAAGTCCACACCGCTGCCGGATTTACCACGAGGTTCCCATTAAAGAAGGAAAACAGGAAGATGCTGGTTGATTTAGACTGAAAAGACACGTTCAAGAATGCTACGACAAGCAACACGAGATTGTGCGTTTTCACGCATAGTAAACAGATCACTTCTTCAAGATGGTGTTTTATGAGTGAAATCTGTCCACAAATGTGGAGAGTGAAGAATCAGGTTTGTGCAACTAAACCTGGATAAAACCACCTGCTTGATTTTGAGTCTCACCATTCTTTCAGATATTTGCAGAAAAACAAACATATTTGTGATGTTGACAGACAACTGCTTCTTCCTGCTCGTTAAGCTGTTGTTGGGATTAAGTCTGCCGCTGACAGCAAATCTGTGCGCCTGTCACACGCTGCCTAACATCGTGACCATCCACTCACAGACATGCCCGCAAGTTCTGATAGATACAGCTAAGGGCAGATGCAAAACACACACACACACTTATGCAAGCTTAATTTATTACTCACTTCTCAACCCAAATCAGTCACATCCTGTGTGACTGAGAGCTCTTGTACATGCGTTCAGTAGCCCATGCAAAGACACACACAAAGGAGATGAACACACTATGTCTCATTTCTGCAGTGTGGCGTGGTGAATAGTGCTATTGGAAGTGAACGTGGACAGTATCATCACTCACTGTCACAGCTTGAAGCAGGAACCACAGAGTGTGTGAATGGATCTAAATTTCTCCTCACAGAGGAGCCATCACAAACCCTGGGTGGTAAGGAGAAGCACACCTGCCGGGCTGAAGAATGTACGAGAAGGGATAAACAAACAAGCCCAGTGGGACTTGGCTCGAGGACATGGTGGGGCTATGCTAACACAAAATCCTGCTCATGTAGCTGTTTATATGTGAATTTTAGTTCTGTTAGACCTGGGTCTAGTTGCATTCATGGTAAAGTTATCAATGATGACCATCATACTCATTTAGAGTGGGAAACAGCATCTACATCTTATGAGGTAATAACTAGTTTGAGAGCAGTCAACACCAAAGCTTCAAACTCCAACGTTTAATAGCTAATTGTGTGATATTTTATAGATGCAAGTGTAAAAGTTTATATCTCATGATTTTTCATGATGGCTACAACCTGTTCCAGCTCCAATCACCCTAACTCTAACCCTAATCAATGCAGCAGTTTGCATAAATGTAAATTCATAAACGTTTGCACTGCCATCGATTACAAACAACATGGTTGTCTTTAGCAAGAATGATTTTGCTGGTTGGCTCAGCAGTCTTGTTGGAGCTAAACACTATTTCTTCTAAAAGAAACTGCCAAGGAAGAAACTACAATAGATAAAACTTTGAAATTGCACAAAAAATTCTTCAAGGGCTCTGCTATGAATTACAAAAGCTCATACCTCACAAAAAGGCCATTTTCAATACCTCTTACTCCCTGTACATCCTCACTGGCTTTATGGTGGTGTACCTCATGAATCAGTCTTTGCCCCCCTTCAATTATTGTTTATGTTTATTTATTTGGCAGACGCTTTTATCCAAAGCGACTTACAATTTAAAACCTATAGGGCATGTTGTGATCTGTGGGGGAAACCGGAGTACCCGGAGGAAACCCACGCATGCATGTGGAGAACACGCAACTCCACGCAGAAACGCAGCAGCCGAGTTTCGAACCTGCAACCTTCGTACTGCGAGGCAACAGTGCTAACAACTGTGCCACCGTGCAGCCCAATTATTCATTTTCATGCTTCCTCTTACCCACCTGAATCTAATTTATCACAATTAAATAGTACACTTCTATAAAACCTACCATTCTCAGCATTTTGGTTACTGATACAGCTGGTCTTTCTGACATAAAATCCAAAATGGCGCAGTAATTCTTAAAGGTGTGGGACACTGAAAAAAAAACATTTTATTGATTACTTCTGATTATAATCCATCACTTTGAGTTTTTCATGCAGTCTGAACATGAAAATAGTCTCCTACACCTATCTCCTGCATTAGCTTCTGATAGAAAACAGACTGTGAAACTCTAGGCTTAGAAAAGTCTGACAGATCTACGTCACACTGTCACTTAACATTCATGGACTCATGGTAAATGGCCTGTATTTGATAGAGTGCCTTCTACAGTCCTGGAACCCCCCAGGGCTCTTTACAACACAATCAGTCATACACACATTCACACACTGGTGGTGATGAGCTACTCTGTAGCCACAGCTGCCCTGGGGCGCACTGACAGAAGCGAGTCTGCCATGCACAGACACCACCAGTCCCTCTGACCACCACCAGCAGGCAAGGTTGGTTAAGTGTCTTGCCGAGGACACAATGACAGCGACAGACTGAGGGGGGCTCGAACCTGCAATCTTCCGATTACGGGGCAAGCACTTAACTCCTTTACCACCCTGTCACCCATCTTGACTGGTGACAGGGAAGGCTGATATTGGTTTGCTTGTCCAGAAATCAGCAGAAAACATCTTGACTAGCAGAAGCTAATTGTTAGCATTCGCAACTCCACCACACAGCAGAAGCTCCTCCTGGCTAGGAGTTTGCATTTGCAAACATCCACAAACTGAACGTAGATATAAAAGTTTAAAATGGATTCTATCTCCAATTTATACTGCTCACGTCATAAATCTGGCTATTTTCTTCAACTGGTGAAAAGGTTTTGAAGACTTTTGTCCACACCTGCCATGCCCCTTTTAATCCACTCTATGAAGCTTTGAATTAGCTCCATCATGTCCACTTAGATCAAAACCCTGCACCCAGACTCATTACCAGTACTAAAGGCACTAAAACATTTCCTCCCATCACTTGCTCCCAGTATTGATTTAAAAATCTTGCTTCCCACCTTTAAAGCTTTAAATGACCCACCCTTAAATACATCACAGACCTATTGACACAATATGCACACTCTTAACCACTGAGATCCATAGACTGTGACCTGATAACTGTTCTCAGGTCACAGTCTGTGACAATGGGAGGCCAGGCCTTTTCCATTAGAGACCCGTTTTCACGATACTCGCTGCCTGCAGAACTAGGACGCATCAAATCTAAATTCTCTTTCAAAACGAAACTTAAAACTTTCCTCTTTGTGAAGGCCTTTGGCAACGTCTGATATTTTTTGGCATTTATTCTGATAGCGAACGTCTAATGGACTGAACTTGTTTCATCTTTTCTTTTAAAGCATTTTCTAACTTTAACAAAGACGCTACACAAATACCGTTTTGATGTTAATTATATGAGATTATTATGTGAAGCTTGTGGGCATCCCAAGGGCTTGACTGGCTCTAACTGCACATATTAAGGTTGTAGCTTTAATCTGACCTGATGCAGTCGCAGTAGGACGGCAGCGCCATTGTAAATATCTGTGGCGAGCAAAAGGATGTCTTTCCAAACCCAAACAAAGTTATATCACTCAAAACAGCTGGGAAACAGGGTTAAGCTCATTTGAATCATTTGGTGGCCAACTATGCTGGAAAAGCTTTTAATATTCATAAAACTGCAACCAGGGCTGCACGGTGGCGCAGTTGTTAGCACTGCCGCCTCGCACCAAGAAGGTTGCAGGTTCAGAACCTGACTGCGGCCTTTCTGCGTGGAGTTGCACCTTTTCCCCATGGGTTTCCCCTACAGATCACAACATTCCCTATAGGTTAACAATTGTACATTGCTTTGAATAA